AAACCGACGTCGTGACACCTCTCGTCAAGCCTGCAGAACTCAAAGGCTATGCCCGCTTCTCTCTGTTTGGTAAAGATTATCCCGCCTTAATAAAGCACAACGAAACATCGGTCGTCGACGGTTGCTGCTCCGCCCTCAGGACAAGTCCCAGCGGAGAAAGCTGGACGATTTCGAAGGCGAGGCATATATAGTGACGCCAGTCCAGGTGTCTGTCGAGGGTCAGATGGTGGACGCGGACATTTACTTGTGGAACGGCGAGCCTGACGCGGTTTCGACGGACTGTTGGGACCTGGACACGTTCATTCGGGAGCGTCTGGATGATTGGATTGAGCTCTTCGCAGGCATGGAGTTAGTGGGAGATGATGAGGATGCATAAGTATCGGCTCTCGTTTGGAGTATGCGACGCCCCGCGAAATGGATGGAAATCCTCTTTTTCCGTGACCGCTGCCTTCTGGATTGATTGTTTTTCCTCAGTCCCCTCTCGGGCGTTTTTGCCCTGGACCACATGTCTTCTTCCGAATCGCACCAAGCAAACACGAGTATTATCACTTATGGAGCGTTCTCGAATAAAGAAATATGTCCAGCTTTACCAAGCATTTTCTTATGGGCAACGGAGATGATTCAGATGGCAGCATCAACTTCGATTCGACATGCCACTGTCCATGGAGCAATCGAGTTTGTTAATCAAAAAGTTTGACGGAAACTGTGTCAGGGACCCCGGGTACGCAGATCATGACTAGTCGAAGAGAAGGAATGCTAACTGGAACTCGGATCCAGATATTGTGATAGTGGAAGGTGTATTTTTCTTCCTCCAACAAGGCGCCACAATATTGATCTCTTCTGAACTTCTACGCTTACTTGCTTGGAACTCTTAATTGTCATTGCCCAGAGCCTAAAGCATTTTGAAAAATAACGTCAGTACCGACTCGGAATGATGGACGTTGGTCATTCGATCATTCGTGACCGTTATATATAAGGCTCAGGCCACTTTATATAAATGTTCGCCAACTCTATTCAAGACTTACAAGGAAACCCTGACGCCCTTGCGAGAAGTGAGCGCGCCGGTGAGCAGTTTCATCTCTTACCCTTCACTTCAACAACTAACCGTGACCGCAGTCATGATACCCGAGATACCTCAAGAAATCATATGCTCCATTATCGAAAGCTTTGAATATCCCAAGGACATCGATACCTGGAAGTCATGTTCCCTCGTCTGCCACGCATGGCGTCCCATCGCTCAGCAGTGTATTCACCGACACTACACCTATCGCTCCGAAAAGAGTTTCGGATCGTGTCTCCTAGGCGCATCTGAGCCCCCTACCTTCGAATCCATGATACCCTACCCTAATATCCTCCGCTACATCCGAACATTCAGATCCTTGGGACGTCCTACGGATGCCTCTCGTCTCTGCCGCTCCTCCAAAGGGTCATCACCCACCTTGCGCGAGTGGCGCACATTGACATAGGTTCAGTGAGCATGGACAACCTGCCCTCATCCTACGGTGGCATCCCCGACCTCTTCCACCTTCCGACAATCTCCTCCGGCCATATTTGTGATTCTGTGGTTGAGTCCTGTGGATGCGGAGGCGTTGTTTCCGGAATTCATCGTCATTGAAACATCTCAAGCTCACCCGTACGGAGTTCCTTGGAGAACGACGTCCCGAAGTCGCAGAGATTTCCGCATCCGTCGTATCCTCAGAGTTTGGATATTCAATTGAGTAGCAAGTCCCTTGATGCGTTTCAGAGTTGGGTTGTGCGCCCGGGTGGGAGTGTTTCCTTGGATCGGTTGAAGGTGTTACGGCTTCGTGATGCAACGGGGCCGCGTATCAGAGATTGGGGGTCACTCTTCGACGCTGGTAGGTTCTCTCTTGAGCGTTTGGAGTACGAACAAACGGCAAAGGGGAGTGTCAACTCGTTTGGTAATGCAGGTGTGTTGCTTGTTGGTCCTCGTTTAAGAGCTGGATTAACTAACACGTTTCAGATGGTCAATGGGATGGGTTCCCCGAGAGCATAGAGAAGCTGAATCTGCGATTCCTTACGGGTAGCAGGTTACTTTTCTTCTGACAGTGCTGCGCAGAAAATCTTGAGCTTCGTGAACCTCGCGACTAGACGGTCGACACGTCTAGATTTCGTGGAACTTGATCTTGTTGTCCTTCATGCAGAGTATAGTGACGCGTACAACTGGTTGGGAATCGAGCAAGTACGAGGTGAAGTCCGGACAGTTGGTAAAGAAGTGTTGGTGGAACTGTTCATGGTTACAGAGGGATCTGAGTCCTGTATCTGGGTGTCCGAAGGAGGATAAAAGGTTCTCGGGGAGTATAAAACACACCTAAAGCTCAAGGCTCTATAGTTATAACATACCCTTCTTATCACTAATTTTATTTTGCTGCTTTTCGTTGTCCAGAGAAAATCAATCTTATCGTGTTCGATATTCGAGCTCACATTGTCACCAAGCGACGGCGCTGATCATTAACTGTCGAGGTACTCGTCTTTCCAGTCGCCGCTTGTTAACGTCGTGTTATTATTCTTTCATTAGTTGTACGTATTCGTTGCTTATACCCGCGGCTTTTAGTTAGAATTGTCGTATAAAAGGACTGTACTCACGTAGTATACACCATCTCGTTTGCAACGGATACATACTCCCCTTTTCTCTCGCTTATTTCGCTGTCCTGAGCCTCGCGATTCCAATATATCGGATAACGGAATCAATCCCGAATCGCGAATTTTTTTTGACATTTACATCAAATTTACATCTTGCACATTCTCTACTGACTACCACCCACGATGTCGCAGCCTATTGGTCCTGAGTTCCGGTATCCCAGCTCCTCTGTATCGCTGAATGCTTCTCATTTCTTAGCTCTTCTATCGTCTACGATAAAACGGATCTGCTCGAGCTTGCTCGAGGGGTTCAATGCTGCTGGGGTCCGTCTGTTCGGGTCTGGAGGAACAGCAAAGAAGATCAGGGATTCAGGGATTCCTATTGAGTGCGTATTCTTACTATCCGTGACGGCTAAGGGAAAACTAAGAAACCGCAGAGATGTTTCTGATATTACAAAAGCACCTGAAATGCTAGGCGGAAGGGTCAAGACACTTCACCCGGCCGTCCATGGAGGTATCTACGGCGATCTCAACGCCTTTACCAGCACACTAAAGTCAATCTGCAGGTATCCTCGCACGAAACATTCCCTCCGATGAAAAGGATCTTGCAGGCCCAGGGCATCTCGCCCCATCTCCATCGTCGTCTGCAATCTTACCCCTTCTCTTCGACCATCGCCCAGCCAGACTGCAACCCTCGCAAACGCAGTAGAGGAGATCGACATCGGCGGCGTACCCTTCTCCGTGCAGCGCCAAGAACCACGAGCGTGTTTCGGTGCTCTCTGACCCTAAAGACTACACCGAGTTTTTGCAGGCGTGGAAGGCTGGACAGGGCGATGTGGGACAGGCTTCCGGAGCAAGCTGGCGTTGAAGGCTTTTGAGATGACCGCCAGGTACGACGAAGCGATTAGTGGGTATTTCCGTGAGCAATACGCCTTCTGGCGATCTACCCAAAGAGAAGCTCGCTGGTGCCGTTCAGAGGAATCCCCCCTTCGTTATGTGCGAATCCCCACCAAAAGCCTGCTCAAGCCTTCGTGACCGAGGGAGCGTTGCCTTTCAAAGGTCACTTCAGTTTTGTTCTTGGTATCCTGTTCTTCGCTGATACACCAGGGCTATAGCGCTATGCGGATCTCCGGGTTACATCAACCTTCTCGACGCCTTGAATTCTTACGCGCTGGTGAAGGAACTCCAGGAAGCCCTGAACCTCCCCGCGGCTGCGTCCTTCAAACATGTCTCTCCTGCCGGCGCTGCTGTAGGGATTGAACTGAACGAGACTGAAAAGAGTGTTTACGGTGTCGACGATCTGAAAGTTCCTTACTACTCCGCTTGCCGCTGCTTACGCCCGGGCTAGAGGTGAGATGATTTGATACCTGGGAACCCATCGTCGCTGATCATTGTATAGGTGCTGATAGGATGTCATCATTCGGAGACTTTATCGCGCTCTCTGCTCCCTGTGATCTCGCGACAGCCAAGATCATTTCACGCGAAGTTTCCGACGGTATCATAGCTCCGGGTTATACTCCCGAAGCCTTGGACATCCTCTCCAAAAAGAAGGGCGGCAAATACTGTGTCCTCGAGGTATGCTTCCGTTGATCTTTCCCTCCAAAAATTTGTGTCTAAATCAAAATCCGACACAGATCGATCCCACTTATGAACCACCTGAAGTAGAGACCAAGCAAGTGTTCGGTATCAGCCTACAACAGAAACGCAACACCTGCAAAATAGACTCCAAATTGTTCGAAAATATTGTCACGAAGACCAAGGAGGTTCGTTAGCATTTACCTCTTCACATTCACATAATAATCTCGCGTTAGCTTCCTTCCTCAGCCGTTACCGACCTGATCGTTGCGACTCTCGCACTCAAATACACCCAATCGAACAGTGTCGCGTACGCTCTTCACGGTGCCATTGTCGGCCTGGGAGCCGGCCAGCAGTCCCGTATCCACTGCACTCGCTTGGCTGGTGGGAAAGCCGATCTGTGGTGGCTCCGTCACCACCCCCGAGTCCTTTCTCTCCCATTCAAGAAGGGTGTCAAACGCGCCGAGAAGGCTAATGCTATCGACCTCTTTGTTGCTGGTGAGGTTCTTGAAGGCGGAGAGAAGGAACAGTGGGAGAGTCTGTTCGAAGGGAAGGTGGAGGCCCTTACTGATGCTGAGAAGAAGGAGTGGGCTGCTAAGCTGGACGGGGTGGCTTGTTCGAGTGATGCATTCTTCCCCTTCCCTGATAATGTCCATCGGGCCAAGAAGAGTGGAGTCAGATACCTTGCAGCGCCTAGTGGAAGTGTCATGGATGAGGAATGTATCAAGGCAGCAGATGAGCATGGTCTAGTCTTTGCTCATACGTCGTTGAGGTTGTTCCACCATTAAAAATTGGCATTGATGAGACGGGGAGGAGTGCTAGTAGTTAATACAAGTGTATTCGTAGTTAAATGAGTATCTATAGCATCATAGTAGGCTGTTAAAAGTTGGTTGCTCCGGTTCTATGGCTTTCCATAGTTCCTTTCGCTCCTTCATTAGATCCTCACCCCATTCACGGACCTCGGTGTGTCGTACTTTGGGAAGACTTGTATCAAAAAATGTTTGTAGATTTCTTGCAGTGTATGTTCGTTCATATTCAAACGCTGGGAAACGAATAAGCCGCGGGAAAGTGAAGGAAGCCAGTATTTTCTTTTACCTTGAGAGGCTAACTCAAAACGGTCTAGATCTGAGGAACGAGTAAGAGAAAATGACATATATCCAAGGTTCGACGCACCTTTGACGAATCGCGCTTCCGGCGTTTTCCCGTCTTCGTATTCCTTGCGACATCAATTTGGTAAACGAGGAAGTATTCGAGACAGGAATTCATGGGACAAACCTTCCACAACGCTTCTATCCTTTGAGCTGCAGGACTGTTATGCAGCATTTCATGTACGAAGTTATGCATTGCTTCCTGCGACATAGGTACCCCGAATAAGCCCGCCCGAACCAGTGAAACAATCATGAATACCCGTACCTCCTCGAGCCGCTGTTTCTCTGCTCTACTGATCCTTTCCCGAGGAGTGATATCGCCGACTAAGATCGCAGAGTTCAGTCGCAAGTGATCTCGTTGGCATTGGAGACTTACCCTGTGCCTCCGCAAGGTCATGAACGACACACATCATCACACATCTGTTCCTCTGTTATCAGCCAAGATCCGGGCCTGCGACAGTATGACCAGTGCGTACTTTGGTATGTCTAGTTTTTCATCTGAAGTGCACATAGCAAGAACTGCCATTCTATACATGTGGTCGGAGATACTAGAGAAGGGGTCCAGGCGAAAGATGAGCATCGGTATCGCTGTATTGAGAGGAACCGGGGCTCTACCTCTCTGGCTTGCCAATCTATCGCAAAAATTTAGTTTATTCTCCAGCTGCGAGCATAGAGAAAGTCGTACTCCGTGATCAATCCATCCCGTTCGTTTTTGCGTCTGCAGCATCAGTAAGAAAATGTTTCTTCTATAGCATTGAAGGTAAGGTCATACCTTCAGCCGCTCCAGAATATGAAAGAAAGCTAATCTGTCGGCGGAATCATCACCAGATGAAGTATAGAGAGGCGGGAATACGCGTGTTGATGAAGACATTGTTGTTGCACCGGAAGAAGACATACTGGGCTCCTAAATAGAAAATTCGATCGCAGAAGTACGTACTTGCTTCAAGTTGATCAAGTCGACTCCACATCTTGCCCGGGTAATTCTAGGCTGTTACTTGTTACCCTGGCTCTTTTCCGCGGGTTTATTTAAAATGCCTTGGGGGACCGGGTAACAGACACAGATTCGGTTTAAGCGTTCCTTGTCAAACTACATACTACATTGTTCGTATGTCGATAATAGGGAAAAGTCTGTCTATATGAGAAATAGTCCGTACTTGCGATCAATGATAGTAAAAACCATATCACTGAGTAGCTCAAATAGATCCAATCTCTCCCAATCACATTCAGAGATCAAGAACACCGTC